ACGGCGATTTCCCAAGTGGGTCACGGGACTTCCGGACTCTTTCATACTATCGATTCAAGACTCATCGCGAGATGCACCGGGAGCTGAATTCGGGCGGGGACTTCTCCGTCCGAGAATCCGTGGATAAGAGGATGCTTTTATGCTTCTTTCTCGTCCATACGATTAGTGTTGACATGAGTGTGGAGCGCGGACGTTCGAGATTCGAGATGCGCGTTCTACTCTCGCTCAAGATTGATGTTTCGCAGCGCTCCCACTTTGAATCCTTCGAATGCTTTCGGTAGTCGATGCGGTGGGTGGTGACAAATGAGAGAAATGATTGTTGTGGCTCTCGAGTGAGTATTGCGCCGAGATATTTCCGTGATTATATGCGCAATCGGCTCTGTGTATGCTTACTCAACATGTCCGAAATCACTCTCGTGCAGGTAATCAAGATTGCGAGCCGTCTCTCAAGCCCTCCGCAATGAGCAATCCGAAGACAAGACCAAAGCGGCGATATTCCGAGCAGTTTCTGAAGTTTGGCTTCATTGCGGTCGAGACCAACAGGAAAGAGACAGCGCCTCTCTGTCTCATTTGTCTCCAGGTCTTGTCCAATGAGTCCATGAGATCCTGTCGACTTCAACATCACTTGAAGTCGAAGCATCCTCAGAAGGCCGCCTCGCCACTGGAGTACTTCGAGTCGTTGAAGGAAAGCTTCGAGAATAGACCAAGGGTAGGCTCTTTGTTCGCCAACTCCAGGTCCGCGGCGATTCGAGTTCAGCGAGCAAGCTATGAAATCTCTCTCTTGATCGCGAAAACTGGGAATAACCATTCGGTCGGAGAGCAGCTTATCAAGCCAGCGATAGCGACATTCCTCAAAACGGTCGGTCAGACTGATGACAAGGAAGTTGCGGCATTGCCGCTGAGCAACAATACGGTTTGCCGGAGAATCGATCGTATGGCTGAAGATATCGAGCAGAAGCTGGTCGAGAAATTGCGGAGCCGTAGCTTTTCTCTACAGATGGATGAGTCCACAATAAGACAGAGCGAAGCCCTCCTGATGAGTTATGTGAGATATATAGACCAGGAAGATCTGAAGGAGGAGATGCTGTTCTGTAGATCGCTGGAAACGACAACGACCGCAACCGACATTTACAAGCAAGTCCGGGAGTACTTGTCAGAGCATAAAATCCCTATAGAAAACATGGTTTCATGCGTGGCAGACGGCGCACCGGCCATGATGGGGAGAAAAAAAGGTTGTCTCAAGATGTTGAAAGATGACAACCCCGGGATGCTCACCATACACTGCGTGATCCACAGGGAAAACCTGGTGGCTAGAACCCTCTCACCGAGTCTTCACAAAGTCATGCAAGCTGTGATCAAATGTGTGAATGAGATAAAAGCAAAGCCCAAGTTCGAGCGCTTATTCGAACAGTTTTGTCACGGTCAGCAAGAAGCACACGTGCGGCTCTTGATTCACACTGAAATACGCTGGCTCTCCAAGGGAAACTGCCTACGAAGGTTCATGGAACTATTCGACGCTGTCGTCGAATTCTTGAAAGACAAGGAAGAGGTGGCTCTCCTCACATCGTTTGAGGGGAAAATTCTCGTAAGCTACCTCGCCGATATCTTCGACTTTCTGAATGGCTTGAATTTGAAGCTACAAGGCAAGAAGGTCTCTCTAATCGAGGCGCAGGAGAGCATTCAGGGTTTCATAAAGTTCTTGCGAGTTGCTGCGAACAACGTCAGAGCTAGGAACTCGATCAGTTTCTTGGTTGAAGAAGTGTAAGCTGTCCGAGGGTGCCCTGATGATCATAGTTGAGCACATGTCGACGCTCATTGAAAATTTCAATGAAAGGTTCTCTGATCTCATAGAAATGAAGTTCCCACTTTGGGTGAGCCAGCCTTTCTTGGTAGACCTCAATGAGGCCGAGCTAGAATTCCAGCAAGAATTGGCGGAGTTGCAATCTAACCTGCCGATGGAGGGTGTTTTTAGAAATACGGGACCACGGGCATGGCTTTGTCATGGAATCAGGGAGAAATATCCAAAATGTAGTTCTCTTGCCAGAGATATATTAATCCACTTTCCGTCGTCCTATTTGGTTGAGTGCGGGTTTAGTGCGGTGAATGACTTAGTGGACGCAAAGAGAAATCGACTTGAAATAACCAGAAGAGGAGATCTGAGGATAAAATTGACCAATATCGAACCGGATATAAAGAAACTCTGCGCGGAGCAAGTAGCGCACTTCTCCCATTAAATTAGCTCCTGATCATTCTAATAAAAATTGTGGGTGAGGAGGTTGACGAAGTCTCCTCGCTAGTCAGGAAAATATATTTCACTCCTTAATATTCGTCGCCATTAAAGAGTGTTTCCGAACACATGCTCTTTTTCAAAGGTGCTGGGTTTTGTCGTGGGCCATGGGGTCTTTGTCGAGTCCAGATGTGGGTCATTGGGGAAAACTCTTGGGAAACACTGCTCTAAGGTATCTTCGCCATTTAGGGAGGAGGGCAATACACGGGCATGTGATCTTCCTCTTATGTGATACTCGATAACTTTCCATGTGGATTTTGAGTCAACCGCAGCCCTGAGGGTCCTCTCAAGATGCGATCGCTCAGCCTCTCGAAGCTCTTCTCGCAATTTGTTGCGATATCTGTTAAAGTTTTGCCTCAGGATCCGGTCCAAGGGATGGGATTTGATCCTCTGCCAAAGTTTGTCTCTGGCCTTGATTGCACGGAGATGTCTTCGAGTTATCCATGGTTTGAGCGGGACGGTCTTCCCGCAGACACTCACCTCCGACGAGGTCAAGCTTCGTTTGGTCTCGATCACCTCCTGAATTTTGTCGAGTATGAGATCTGGGTCGGACTCTGCGAGTATGTTCCCTGGCGCCACCGTCGCCATCTCCTCCTCGAATCTACGCCAGTCGGTCCTGACCCTGGTAAATGTCGTGTTTGAGAATTGTACCGGCGTCGAGGCGCTACCGAGGATCACCCGAATCACTACGTGGTCCGAGACTCCCAGCGAGTCGACACAGCGCACTTCAACGGAGTCAAAACCGAAATTTTTCAGAAAGACATGATCTATAATGGTGCCGTTTCCGTTATTGCCCCTTCGGGTGAGTCCCGTAGGACACCACTCAAACCCGCACTCCGCCATCGCGTCCAGGTAATCGCTCTCCGCAGGGTCGCCGCCACCCAGATCAATATTCGAGTCAGAAAGTCAGATGAAATCCTTGGTGGGACCACCCAAGGAAAGGATGTCCGGAATGCTTCTCTCGACAAACCCGTTCGGGTCCGATACGGTCGGAGTGGGTGAGCGATATACACCAGCCATGTGAAGAACTCTGCTGCCGATAGTAATTCCGATCACACATGCTCCACAATTCTCATTGTGGTTGGCGACATGAAAACTTTCAAGGCAGTTGCTGACGTAGATCGCCACACCGCCCGCAAGACCACCGTCCCGAGAGCTGAAGTATGCATTGTATCCATCAATAGTGCATAATTGCTCCTCCCAAGAGTATACCCACGTCTCGGTGAGGACCAGAACATGCGGCCGCTCACGGAGACTCTGCAGCGAGACTAGAAAATTATTGAGATTGGCTCTCAGACTCCGTATACTCAAGAGATGTATTGAAAGTCTCGTCCCCACATCCACTCCAGTATTACACTTCTCCATGTGAAAAGGAAAAACAAAAGGAGACGGACTATTTGTCTACCTATAAAATGTACTATTTGTACGAATGCGACACTGTGCCGAAAAACTCGCCAGGAGATGATGTGGTGAGAATGGGAGAGTTTCAAGGTTGAGCGGTGCGGTCCGAGCCCGTTGATCATTTTTGCCTCTGGTTCGGCTTCTCGGTGTTTCGGGCGGGATTTTCATTATTAGTTGCTTTCGATTCGGCCCTCTTGCGAGTGATTCTGGTTGGTCTCCCAATTGCTGCAGCAGGGCTGGTCGGATGTGTTGCTTGCGAGCAGCTGATCCTTGAAGGTGATGAGTTTCCACGGGGTAGAATACGTGAGTAGCCGACGCTTCATCCTTGCGGAGCTCGACCGATTGACTGTCGCTCAAAGGACGACACATGCTCCAAGAGAGCTCGCGTTTGAGCAGAGAGGCGGATCTCAGTAATTGAGTGAGATGTCTACTTAGTTGAAACCGCACTTCAATCCTCGAGTTTGGGCCTAGACCAACAGCATCGCCCTTTAGGTCAGGATGCTTTCGGATTTGGTGAAATGCCTCTTGTGCGTGTATCCTGCTTTCAAACGTGATCACTGATCACTATCGGACTTAGTGGATTGTTTCGATTCAAGCGGTGTGCGCAGACGATTCTCAGAAGAACCTCGGTCTTTGCAAGGATTTTCCTCACTAGATTTTCGGTCTCGGTCCTTGCCTCGTCCGGCTTACCGGTGACTCCGAAGAGCAGGAGGTTACTAGCCCTAATATGCTGCTCGGTCAAGTTGGATTGTAGGCGGTTCGCTCGAAGTTCCTCCTTTAGAAGTGAATTTTCCTGTTCGAGTCCAGCAATTCATATATGCACCAATAAAGCTCGCTGAGAACCGAGAAGATCACGCAGACCTAGGTGCTCTGCCCCTGATTGAACATCACTACAAGCGTGTGTGTTTCTTTCGTATCAGTCATTCCGTAAAGTATCAGTGTCCAGTAAACCACCCTCGGTCCACTGTGCTAGCAGCGGGAACCTGAGCCTTCAAAAATCTAGCAGATAATTCTCGCGGTAGCCAACCCTTAGCGCTCACAAGAGCAGGAATGCTGAGCATCAAGAGGAGGCAACGGAGCCACGACCCTTCCATCGACACCCTATGCTCGGAGACTGAAAAACACATAGTCCTGGGATCCGAGGAAGATACATTCTCACCAGAGGAGTTTCGTCTCCGAATAGGACTTCCGCCTAACACTGCCCAGACGACTATTCGGAAGACAAAGGCAACCCTCAATACATGGGAGAGAAAAGATCTTTGAGCGCAACACAGCTCACCCCTGAAGAAGAGGGATCATAATACGTTCAGATGATCTCCGGACACAGACAACTCATCGCCGGACAACTCATCGCCGACATCTCATCGCCGACAACTCAACGCTGGGACAACTCATCGCCGGACAATTCATCGCCGAGAAAACTCATCGCCGGACAACTCATCGCCGGACAGCTCATCGCCGATAGAACTCATCGCCGGACAACTCATCGCCGAGCCTCCATCACTCTTCTTCGAGTTTCCAAATGAAGGCCCCGCTCTTATCGAGCTTTAATTTACTTCATATTTCTCGGCTTAAGATACCTTAATGTACCTACAACGATCTTCACAACGTACAATGACTATACTTACAGGGTATATACTCTCCTTCGTGTTTCCAAACGATAGCCTTGATGAGATCGGAGAAGGTGCCATGGATCAATATCCTAGCACCGCCTGCGCTAGCGTCAGGAAGTTCCCGCCGGGAAGAACGAAGATGCCGAACGCGCAGAGAGATATTGAACTTGAGAGGGGAAAAGCGTAGCTCCCTTTGTTGTCATCCGATCGCTGTACGAATCGCAATATCCCTGAAAAGAAATATCCACCTAGCAATGGCTCCCCCGTCGAACAGCAATAATTTGGTATCGCAGCGCGAAAAATGCAAACGAACCCACGATGGACATATCTATATCCGTGACAAATGCAGCAAAGATGGCACGAGAGTGTTCTGGCGCTGTCACCATCTCGGAGCCTGCAAGGCTCGACTACACACTTCAGCCTCGGATGACGGAGTTCTCAAGGTGCTCGGTGTACACAGTGACGAGCCGAACCCAAGTGCAGTGGAAGTTGCGGCGAAACGAACTGTTCTGAAACGAAGAGCCGAGGAGTGCCAGGAGACTCCATTGCAATTGATCGAAAGTGTTTTCGAGTCGTCGACCAAAGCCGCAAAACTTGTGCTGCCAAGCTGCGAAACGCTTTCCAGATCAATAAACCGAGCCCGTAAGAATGCCATGCGGCCGGCGGCGAGTCCACAAGATCGGTCGTCGATTGTGATTCCGGAAGAGCTAACGATGTACGAGAGTGAGCCCGGCGTGTTTGAGCGTTTTCTTATCGGCGACACAGGTGAGATCCGGTGAAATCCAAGCTGTACTAGTAGATACTCCATCTTCGTTTCGACCCCTTATAATCTCCAATCAGAACCGCGTTCAGTAACTCTGACTTGTTCACATTCCCTAGGAGAAGGCGATCCTGCGAGAATTCTCCTCTTCGGACGCGAGTCCGTGGGTGAATGGATTGGTCTCTCGCGGAAAATCTTCGTGGACGGTACCTTCAGCTTGGCGCCTCCATGCTTCTATGTATCAGATCGTTGCGGTTCTTGCCCAACGGGGGGAATTCGTGTTCCCAGTGTGCTACGCCTTATTGCCAGACAAGAGTCAAAATTCGTACGCACGCATGATACAGCTCATCCGAGCTGCCTGGCCCGCTTTCGCTCCTGAGGCGATCTCCACCGATTTCGAAATGGGTTTCGTCAATGCGTT